AGAGAAAAAGGAATGCTTCTACACTGTTGGTAGGAGTGTAAATTAATTCAACCATTGTGGAAAATGGTTCCTCAAAGGCCTAATAAGAGAAGTACCATTTGACCCAGCACTCCCATTACTGGGTATATACCTAAAGAATATAAATTTTTCTGTCATACAGACATAGGCACGCGTATGTTAATTGCAGCACTATTCACAATAGCAAAGACATGGAATCAACATAAATGTCCATGAATGGTAGAGCAGGTAAAGAAAATGTGGTACACATACACTATGCAGCCATGAAAAACAAGTCACGTTCTTTGCAGAAACATGGATGGAGCCGGAGGCCAGTATTCTTTGCAAAGTAAACAAATACTGCATGTTCACATTTATAAGTGGGAGCTAAATGATAAGAACATGTGGACATAAAAAGGGGAACAGCAGACATTGGGGACTATCAGAGGGTGAAGTATGGGAGGAGAGAGAGGATCAGGAAAAAAAATGGGTACTCGGCTTAATACCTGGGTGACAAAATAATCTGTACAACAAATCCCCATGACACAAGTTTACCTACATAACAAACCTGTATGTGTACCCCAAACTTAAAAGTTTTTTAAAAAGTAGGTTTCTGGTTTAGGTCTAGCACATTAAAAGTGGCCACAAGACAGTGGTGATTTTTGGCTAAGTGTGTCAGCTAAGGAGATATAATCAGTTGTAAATTTAGCTCGCTACTTCTCAGTAGCCTCAGATTCTCCATCTTAAAATGAGCTGATTTCCATCTTAAAATGAGCTGATGAGCTCAGTAGCCTCAGATTCTCCATCTTAAAATGAGCTGATTTCAACCTTTCAATAGACTACCTTAATATGTTTATGTGTTTAAAGTATTTGGAGAAAACACAGACTTAGGTAAGCAATGTATATGTTAGTTAATATTATTATAATTTGACTTCATACCCAGAACTAGAATCAAAAAGTAGAAGTTTCTGGGAATAAATTTCAACTTGCTACAAAAAGCTAATTTAAAAGACAATAGAAAGATGGAAGTAGATGAGCTCATCACTAGGGTATCCAAGGAACATGAATTTTTCTAGACGGAGTCTCACTCTGTTGCTCAGGCTGGAGTGCAGTGGCACAATCTCGGCTCACTGAAACATCTGCCTCCCAGGTTCAGGTGATTCCCCCACCTCAGCCTCGCGAGTAGCTGAGATTACAGGCGCCCACCATCACACCTGGCTAACTTTTGTATTTTTAGTAGAGATGGGGTTTCCCCATGTTGGCCTGGCTGGTCTCAAACTCCTGACCTCAAGTGATCCATCCCACTCGACTTCCCAAAGAGCTGGGATTACAGGTGCGAGCCACCACACCCGGTTACCTTGGTATGGATTCTGAAAGTTCTATTTACTCACTGGATTGCTGTCAGATTAACCTGCTGGAAATTGACTTTTAGTATTGAGATTTTGTGCTTCTTTGTAATGTTTATCAACTATGATCACTGTAATGCTAGCTAGTTCATGAAAATGAGAAAGTAAAGGAGTTAGAATAGTAAGGTGTAGTATAAAGAGACAAAGGTTTAAGGCGGCAGACAATTTGACCTTGTGATGTAGGAACTTGGAAACATTTAAGGGCTTTGAACCTTATGGAGAGAGAAAGAGACAAAAGGAGAAAAAGAGATTCTGGCATATACTGTGTATAACAAGCAATTAGAACCTATGAAGTACTGTGGATGAGGATTGCATTTAATATGAGGAGGAGGAAGTATTTCATACTCCAAAGGCATGGAGTATGAAACCCTGTCCAAGATGACCTAGAATTAAACAGGCAAAAATCAGGACATTGCTTTGCTGGAGGAGCCCAGTCAAATAGGAGAAGCCAGCCCAGGAAAAGAGGAGTTGGGTCTGAAGGTGAAGCTAGTTGCTGCATAAATCTCCCTGAGAACTTCAGAAACAGTTTTGCTTCCCTTTTTGGAGAAACAGCTCTATCTGGGTTTCCTAGCCACAGCAGCAGTAAAAACAACAACAAAAATGCAGGTAAAATAAATAACACCTCCACCCCACATTTCAGCCGTCTCTGGCCACAGTACTATAGAAGCCATCATTCTTAAAGAGTGTCATCTTTTATTTATTAGCAACATGAAACATCCTGGAGGTAACTGAATTATGCGATCAATGTTAATGCTAATCAAAGTGATCAACGTTGAGTGTTCTCTTCTCCACATGGTGTGGCCCTTGCTGCTCCCAAGATGTCAATTGCATGATTTGTACATAGCCCTAATTTGCTGATTACACTGATCTTCTTAGTTCCTGCTACTCTGAGTTCTTACCCCTTTGCTATCTTTGCTTTTAGTTCAGCGTTGATATTAGGGAAATGCCATTAGAAAAAACAAAGTATTCAAAATAAAATACAGCCAGATACATTTTAGAGGTTAAAATAAGTGAATCTTTTGAGTATCCAAGTTGTTAACCATTAGATATTTAACAAATAATCAGACCAAGAGGAAAACTGATTTTAAAAGATATACATTTATTTCACATGTATGTCTCAGTCAAAATTTAACTGGACTCGATAAGTCACATGCCAAGCACAGAAAATTACTTTCTAAAATAAATGCATTTTATTTTATTCATTCTCAGATGAGTAAAAATTCATACATAAATGTGTTAGAATATCAATGCATAATATTCTATTTTTTTTTTTTTAGACAACAGAGTTTTGGAATCAGAGGAATGATTCAAAGGATGTTAAAAGAGAAGAAAAGCTAATGCACACAATTGGTGTAAATTCTCCCCCATTGCACCAAAACAAGAAGCATATCTACTATTCCCTCTCCTTTACGGTCCCAAGTTAAATGGAACGAAAGAAAAATCTCTCCGGGACACGGTGGCTTATGCTGGTAGTATCAATGCTTCGGCAGGCCGAGGCGGGCGGATCACGATGGTCAAGGAGTTCAACCAGCCTGGACAACGTAGTGAAACCCCGTCTCCACTAAAAATACAAAAATTATCCAGGCATTGTGGCGCACGTCTGTAGTCCCAGACTACAGACTGCAGTCCTCCTGCCTCGGGAGGCTGAGGCAGGAGAATCGCTCCAACCCATGAGGCAGAGGTTGAGGTGAGCCAAGATCACGCTACTGCACTCCAGCCTGGGCAACAGAGCGAGACTCTGCCTCAAAAAAGAAAAGAAAAATCTCTGTCAGTTACTGTGCTGCATGACCTTGGACACTTTATTGCTCGACTCTGAGCACCAGGGCCCTCTTATGGAAAATATCTGTTTCCCAGGTGCTTGTGAGGATAGAACAGTTGGCAAATGGGAACTCCCCTGTGCAATGCGGTGAGAGCACACAGTCAGAGCTCTCGGTAATTGTTCTCTTTTCCCTTTCTATTTATGGCTCCTAGACCTCACTGCTTCACTCCTTGATATTCATAATGTCTTGACTTTAGCAACACAATGATGTGCTTTGGGTTAGGAGGTAAAAGGTTGAGACATATTCCAGGCTCTGCTGCTCACTATGAATGGTTCAGTTTTGGACCTGAGTTTGCTGGTGTATTTGTTTCTTACATTTACACTGTTGATACAGCTGTGAATTGAAAAAAAGCCTCTACCATGATATGCTGTGTTTAAGAAATCACCTTTGTTGTTACTGTTTATATTATAAAGTTATTGCTTGCTTAATATTGTAATTTAGATTTTAAAAAGACAAGTATAGCAGAAACAAAAATTAGTCATAATTCCAGTTTATTATTAACATTTTGATGTCTTTTTTTCTGGCCTCTATCTATGTTCCCATACATGCAACATAGAGATGGATATAGATACACACAAAAATATCACATACATACATATAGATGTTATATGCCTGTATGTGAAAATGGATATACATTTTCAAATATGCATAAATGTACATATACATACATATGTATGTATACACACAAATATTAACATGCAAATATATAAAGTATGTATATGTAAATAGTGGATATGTATATATGACCTAATAGATTGTTTCCACTTTCTGTATTATTAATACTGTTATAACCTAGATATTATCATCTTTCATCTCAATTTGTATTGTAATCATAAGGTGGATTTCAAAAAGTAGACTCATGGGTCCTAGGCAGTCTAATATTTAGCTCTTATGGATTCAAAGGGTGCATCTGTCAGGATTCGTTTGGGCTGCTCAGTGGTAATGACATATCAACGGTTTAATATTTTGAATTGAAACTATTTTCTAAGGGTATGGACATTTTAAATGTGTTGCTTTTCAAAAGAGATTTTTACATTTCAATTTGCATGACCAAGCTGAGCTGGGAAAACAAAATCTGCCAGGTTATCTTGGAGCTCTCTGCTTGCAAGCACACGAACCACAAGTTTATCATGGGGGTTTAATCAATAGAATAGAATGTACAAATATTAAATTTTGTAGATTACTCACAAAATTGAAAATATCCCTTAAAAAAGCATTCTTTCTGGTACATTTCCATATCCCAGGCTCACACCAGGCACCCAGAGAACCAAATGGTTCCTTGTGTTCTGTAGTCTCCCACCAGTCCAGCCCTGTGGACCCTACTTCCTGCTGTATGGGGGTCACCGGTCTTGGTTTCTGATGTCAAACACACCCTCGTCTCCATTCCCAACTTACCTTGGTTCTTCAGAATCTACTCCACTCTTATTTGCTGAGCAAAGAACCCCAATTTTTAGGTCTTCTTTGTGAACTGCCACCTTACTTTGCCTCTCCTCTTCTCTAAAGAGGTGAAAATCCAATTCATGCAATGCAAGGCAGCACACCAAACACCTTTATCTGAGCTTCCCTTCACAAGGCTTCACTGACTTTTATCTTAGAGCAGGCTTGTTTTCCAATTAGTGGCTAATAGACAAAACTATCTGGATATCCTCAGAGAAATGTAAAAGGGTACTGCTATTTTTATCTGCAATATATATATGTATATTCCAAAGGCTACATACAAGCCTGCACCAGAGCATTTCAAATTTACCAAACTATTATACAAAGGCTAAAGAGCGAATAAATGAATGAATGGACACATCTTTATTTTTCTATGATCATCTTCCTCAAGTATCCTCACCCAACAGAGGTATAGAGGTTGACCTAACCTACTAATTGTGAATATATCCCTCTTCTTTCTATATAGGTCAGTCTCTGTGCTGTAAATATTTCTTGAAGACATTCTTTTTGCTATTGCCTCCTTACCAAGATGGCAGCTGAAAGGATGAGAAAGTTTTTAGCCTTTTTGTATTGGTAGAGGTGTTCTACCTGGCTTCTGTCTCTTTTTGGTGTGCTTTCCTCAGCAGGGCAGCTGGTTTCTGGGTGAGTGCTATGCAATGCCTTTTGAGATGTACTTCTGGTCCAGTCTCTGGGTTTCCTACTGATAGATATTGCTGCTGTCTGCCTCAGAGGCTCCTGTGGTCCATTTGTTTGGCATGGCCAGAGGTCTTAGCCTCACCTCAGTTATCTGGTTCTGTGGGTGCCTCCAGAGAGCAGACTGTGACAAGCAGACTATCCCCGATGTCAGTGCTGCTCTGTTGCCCTCAGTTATGGAGCCACATCACTGCTGTCAGAGCACTTCTCCCTGTTAAGTTTTCCAACCAGTCCATCAATTGTCTTATCATCCTCTGCTCAATTACCCCCCTACACACTTGTCAGGCCCTTTCCACTCAGGAGCTCAGGGTCATGCAGCTCTGAAATGTTAACTTGGGCTTAGCTTATACCATCGTTCTTCAATTTCACTTCTCCATGTTGGAGAGGAGCCGTACAACACAGAACTTCTGTACAGACTATAAAAGAAGAACTCATCAAAGCTCTGTGCCTTTTATCTTTCTTTGTTTATGATGTCCCTTCCCCTCGGTGAGGGAGGTCAAGAGATCTTTCTTTCACTCACTCTTCCTTCTCCTCCCCGCAAATCACCAGACTGGAAGAACCAGCTTTTCTTTTTCTCCTACTGTCTTGCAGTGACTTTTGCCTTGTTATATTTTCCTTTTTCTCTGGAAGACCAAAACCTGAAAACTTACTTTTAATGGTAGATAGGATGAAAAAAGGGAAATAAGCTTATAAGTAATAAATATACATGAATTTGAATTTTAGAAATACTACTTTTTAATTACCTGTTTTATTCATGTTGCTTTCCTGGCATACTAAAAGGGGAGATTAACTTATAAGATGCTCCATGAAGTATTCTATTGAAGTTAGGGGAAGACGAATACCCAGGTCTCATACCAAAATAATGTCACACTTATACGACATTGTCATATGCCCGGTTCTGTTCTAATTGTGCTACGTATATTAATCCACATTCTCAAAACAATCCTACAAAGTAGGCACTGTTATTTTCACTACTTTAAAAGTAAGGAAGAAAAAGTATGGAGAAGCTATTTATCTAAGGTCAAACAGCTAGTTAATATAAGAACTAGATTTCAACCCAGACAATTTCCTTGTTTGGAAATTCCAGCAGAGACAAAGCCAAGATTATGCATATATTTAAAAATAATAATAAGCAATTCACATGGAAAATAAAAGATATGAGGTTTTCATTGAACATGAATTCTATATAAAAAAGCCAATAATAAAATGTAGCAGATAAAGTAATCACAATGAATCTTAACCACAGTAGCCAGCAGTTAAAACAATCACAATGAACCCGAATCAGCAGAAACTGAAGCAGAGAGTGGAACTCACAAGAAGGAGAAGCTATTCCATATTCTTCACTGGACATAGCATAGCTGTAGTACTAGGATTTATCCTTGAGACTACACACAATGAGAGATACCAGGAAAACGAGGTCCACTCAGATGAAGGCAACCTAGGTTCACTCAAATGAGGGCAACCCGAGTAAGAAGGGTAATGAAAACCAATTTCAAATCACGTATTGACATATCTGAGGGTATTTAAACTGGAAAAGAGAAAAATCAGGGAAAATGATAGTGATCCCTAAACCCTTATAAATCAGTAAGAAAACAAAAATAGATTTGCTTTGTGCCATGGAAGCTGCAGTTCTCCCACACATCTCCCAGCAGGGACACACTTCTTTTTAGTCATTTGGGAGGTGAATCCCAACTGATGTGGTACTGAAAACAATGAAAGACTACAAGTCTGTGATTGAGACTCACTTGTTATAAATTAGAGATTCCAGTTTGCTCCCATAACATCACTTTTATTAATTCATTCTTTATTGAAAGAGATCCTGGTAAAAGTATATCCACTGGAATGTCACATAAACTCAGTTATACTCAGCGGAGTATTTCTCATATGTAAACCTCTTAAGAAGGTAAAGCTACTGTCTGGGATTTACATGGAGCTGGACTTTAATATTAATATAACAACGTCGGATCTAAGAGTGGAAGGGTTATAACGTAACATGAAAATTAATAATAATTAGATAGATCCTGACACACTGAGGTTGTCTTTTGTTTTTTCAATAATACATTTTTACTGAAAGAAAAAAGAACTTTCTCACACCTTCTCCTGCTTTTAGCTCTAGTATTCACCTTACTCCTTCTTTCTATTTGTTGCATACAGCCCAGCCTTTCCCAAAGTGCAGAAGGCATGTGTGGCATATGGTTTTCACAGACATAGGGAATAGATTTAGTTTGTGGCACATAAAACTCAAATCAAATAAAAAGTATAATCTCAATTTTCTTTCTGTCCTTCTGTCCAAGAGAAATTCTCAGTTTAGTGCTACCCATCTTTAATATTCTTGAATGCTTTCATATCTTACTGTGCTCAAACTTTTTCAGACAACCATACCTAAATAATTGTCGTGTTTTCATTGCATCTTTTATATGGTTACTTTCTATGTAACTGACATTACACTAGTAACAGAAACCTTTCCTTTTGATATAAAGTTATTTGAACAAAAGAGTAAATTAGTGTAAAGAAAACCAAGTAATGGCACAGTTGGTACAGGACATGACCATATTGGAGAAGGTGGTCTGATAATGACTGTGTTACGGGATCTTTGGGGGGTTGATGTTCTGGCTGGAAACCTCTGTGGCCACAGTGCCTTTGTCTGAGTTCTTGTCTTGCATCCAGGAAGAATGAGGTAGGCAGACAAGCGAAGGATGAACAAGATGAAGATGAGCTTTATTGAGTGTTACAACAAGTAAAAGGAGACCCACAGTGGGTAGCTCTCTCTGTAGGCAGGTCATCCATCAGGTGCTCCATTCTCAGCAGAGAAGAGGCCCTGAAGAGGGTAGCTCCTTTGTGCAACTGGTCATCCTGAGGTGTGCTGCTCTCAGTGGACAGGGGGCCTGGAGAGAGTGGCTCCGCTCTGCCAGCAGGGCTTCTTTGCAGCTCTCAACAGAGAGGGTGCTCTCTCTGCCCTTAATGTCCTCTGGCTGTCCTCTGCCCTGCTCTGACTGAGCCCAGGGTTTTTACGGACCTCAGAGAGGAGGAAGTGTGTGCCAATTGCTCCATGGGTGGTCATGGGCAGTCAGGAAGAGGCATCATAAGTCACTATTGCTGTCTGCAGGACTGTCAGCCCATCCCCCAGCCTTCAGACCCTCCTTAACCTGAAGATGGGGCCTTACTGGGGACCCACCCCCCTGCACCTAGGAATCAATCTGCCTCCCACTGCCATTTATAGCCCCTGGGGCTAGGCCCCAACCCCCTCTGAAAGATCGAAGCAGTCACCTGGAGCAGAGAGAGGCCAGTCAGCGGCGGCAGACCCCCCTGAGCCTGCAGGGTGTGGGGAAGAAGGGGGTCCTTCCTGGGGCCCCCGAGGGTGCAGACTGCAGAGACACCCAGGTCTTGTCCCTAGGGAAGCTCCGGCCCCAACTCTGAAAGGGCGGGGCTCTCATTGGCTCCATGAAGTGTGCGGCCCCAGCCCCTCCTCCCTGCTGCAGCCATTATGATGGCAGCAGCCACCACTATCAACTGGACTTTAGGAAACACTGGACAGTCTTTCTAAAACCATCTACCTTCAATATGCTAATACTGGGATGGGGAGCTGAGCTTACTGTTTGCTCTAGTTTGAGGGAGTCCCCCAGAATTCATGGGTTGGAAATTCAGTTCCAAATGTGGCAGTGTTGGGAGATTGGGCCTTTAAGAGGTAAGTCAGTCAGAGAAATTAATGCTGCTCTGGCAGCACTTGGCTAATTCTCATGGGAGTGACTGAGACCTTGCTCTTGCTCTCATGAGACTGAATCAGCTACTGAAAAAGTAGCTTATTATAAAGTAAGGTCACCCCTCTGTTTTGCCCCTTTTGCAACTTCCACTTCCTTTTCTGCTATTCTGCCTCATTATAATGTGGTACAAAAGCCCTCACCAAAAGCTGCCACCATGCTGTTGGACTTCACAGCTCCAAAACCATGAGCAAAGTAAACTTCTTTTCTTTATACATTATCTAGTCTCGGGTATTCTGTGATAGCAACAGAAAACAGATCAAGATGCTCTAATTATTCACTTATACCTCTATTCTTAATTAGATGATCTTTTTTCCTGCCTCATTTATACAAAGTTTCTTATGACCCTTCCAAATAATCAATAACTATTCCTATTAGAGAACATGGCCTGGTGTATTTAATTGCCTGTTAACCAGTCTATCTATTCCTCGAGAATGTCAAAAGCATACATCTTGACTTGCTCTTCTTGTGAAATGTGTGTAGTATACACTAGATTGTCAGAAACTTTGACAATAAATGAATAAAACTGCCCATAAATAGAATCATGATTTCCATACCCCATCTAAGCACTCACATACATTTTTCTCTTGTCTTATATGCAATATTCTGCTACTTATTTTACACTTTGATACCTTCATGCAACAAGACATATAATATTCTGCTTTTAGATTATACACTTGTGTAATGTACTTATACTTCCAAAATGTTTAGGTTTTCTGTGTCAGTTTTCTGTGTTATTAGTGCTTAAGATTTTAGAGGCCAAAGTAGGAACTATGTGAAACTTTCCTTCCCATCAAGAAAAATGTTCTAACAAACTAATCATATCATGAGTGCATTCAACTGTGTGCATTTACTCCTTAATAAAATGACCAATTATGGTGAGACTTAAACAAGTTCTACACTTTGACATTGCTTTCTAATAAGTAAATAACTATACTATGTGTTTGTTTTAAAGCTCAGAGACTGAACCGTAAAATTGAGGAAATTCATTTAGAGGTAAATTATTGAAAATACCATTTAAAGAATAAAAGAAAAATAGTATTCTAAAATTTGTGACATACTGTACTTACTTCCCAACTTTCAACTGTGCTTAATACTTATTTGGTTTATGCTTGATTTATGAAATGCAATATTTCCAATCTTAGGGAAGACAAGAGTTTTTAATACTTCTGACATTCTGCCATTTCTCATGCCATGTTCTCGAACTTGGGGCCTGAATGCTTGGTTTATTAAGACTGCTTCTAAAGCTGAACACTTTTTTATTATACATTTCCTACCACTTTGTTGGAAAAGTGTTCTACCTCCCCAAGTAAAAATGATTCCCACTGCTCATCCACAAAGTCATGGGAGTGTTGAAATCTCACTTCTTTCTCAGTTCTGAGCATCTAAAATTTATCTAGGGTGACAAAACCATCACAAGCTTAGCAGCTGGTCTGCCAGAGTATCCCTTCTCAGAATGGCATATTATTCCCTATTCGTTGTTCCAGATGTGGTAATTCATCTTTTAATAAACGTTTCCTGTGTTTTCGAAGCCTTTTCTTCCTCTTCTCCAACCCTCACTTGTTTTATTTCTTCTTATATGTTCTAAGATAAGAAAGAGCATATTTCTCTTGAGAAACAATCCAAGCATGAGGATAGTAAAGCATGAGAGAAAAAACTGTCAACCTGGAATTTTATATCTAGTGAAAATGTTCTTAACAAACAAAGGCAAGATTTCTGGTTTTAACTCCAACTAGAAAGATCGGAAGTCATCACTTTTGTTCTTACAATAAGAAAAAAGCCGAACAAACTAAAAATCAACAACTTTTCTGAGAGCCATCAGAGGATTAAGGTGACAGAGTAAAGTGCCATAACAAAAACTGGAGAGACAGGAGAATCTAGAAAATCACAGCCCCAAACCACCTAACCTATAACAGAAGCTACTGGAGCCAGAAAGTGGTGGGAACACTTGAAAGGCAATTGTGAGTAACTGCTGAAGGCTGTGGCCTGCACTGATGATGAGAAGCTACTAGAAGCTGCAGCCTAAGATCCCTGCCCTCGATGCACATTTTAATGGACTTTGCCTCCAGAAAATTAATAAGGTTCTCAAGATCCAAAAGACATTCCCTCCAGTTTCAATTAGGGTGAGAAAAATGTAGCCATTTCAAATACACCCAGAACATTCTTCGTAACAAAGTCTTGCTCTTCAAGAAAACCTAGTGTTCCCAGGGCCTTGCCTACCGGGAGAAAGGCAATTAGTCAACTCCATCCTTCTCTAGCTTTCCTGACTCACACTAAGGGGGGCGGTGGGGGAAGGCTAAGAAACTCTTCTGAATGTCACAACTCAGAAATTCAGTCCAACAAAAAGTTAAAGTTTTAATTATAAGACTATAGAATGCTTTTCTTCCCTCAGTCCTTACCACATCAACATAACTTCAGTGTAATAACAGTAGATTATTATGACAGAAAGCACTGCAAGACACGGACTCGATTTAGGTGTTCTTAGGGAAATCCAAAGACAACAGGAAAAATAAACAAAGATAAATAGGGACACTGAAGAAAACTGAAGCTTTTTACATGTAAACATACTGTAAATATTAAACATAGCCTAGTTCCTAGCAATATCAACGTAAAACCTCACACTAAAAGTCTTTTTATCTCAGTTCTTATCATGCAATACGTCATGTCCAGAGTTCAGCTACAAGTACAAGACTAGCTAAAAGCAAGGGAAAACCCCAATCTGTGAGGAGACAAAATGAGTATCAGGACAAGGATAAGAGTCACAGACTTTCAAAATATCACACAGAAAATGTAAAACAACCATGATAAACATCTTAGATTCATTAATTTAAAAAGTACAGCCAAGTGCGGTGGCTCACGCCTGTAATCCCAATACTTTGGGAGGCCGAGGTGGGCGGATCACGAGATCAGGAGATCGAGACCATCCTGACTAACACAGCGAAACCCTGTCTCTACTAAAAATACAAAAAATTACCCAGTAGTGGTGGCGGGTGCCTGTAGTCCCAGCTACTTGGGAGGTTGAGGCAGGAGAATGGCGTGAACCTGGGAGGGGGAGCTTGCAGTGAGCCGAGATCATGCCACTGCACTCCAGCCTGGGCGACAGAGTGAGACTTCGACTCAAAAAAAGAAAAAAAGAAAGAAAGTACAAAACATGCAAGTATAGGTGGTAAGCAGAGAGATGAAAACTTGATAAAAATATCAAAAATGAATGATACAACTAAAGGATATTTTGACAGAAGTGAAAGCTACCTTGAATGGGCTCATCAGAAAACTAGACATAGCTGAGGAAGGAATCAATAAGCTTGATGATACGGAATGAAAACTTCCTAACTAAAATAGAAAGTAAAAAAAGAATTTAAAAAATCCAGAATACACAAGGACTGTGGGACAATTACAAAAATTGTTACATCTGCATAATTAAAATGAGAAGAGGAGATAAAAGAGAGAAAGGAACAGAACAATTATTTGAATTAAAGATGGTTGAGAACTTTTCAGATTAATGAAACACACCAAACAACACATACAGGAAACTCAAAAAGCACTGAGTACTGTAAGTGGGGGAAAAAAATAGGTAACAATAACAAAAAGCCCTACACCTTGGCAAATCTTATTCAACCTGCAGAAAATCAACGATAAAATCTTGAAAGCAGCCAGAGGTGTGGGGGTGAATAAATGCCTTAGCTCTAGAGGTGCAAGGATAAGAACTGCAGTAGAGGCCGGGCGCGGTGGCTCAAGCCTGTAATCCCAGCACTTTGGGAGGCCGAGATGGGCGGATCATGAGGTCAGGAGATCGAGACCATCCTGGCTAATACGGTGAAACCCCGTCTCTACTAAAAAAAATACAAAAAACTAGCCGGGCGAAGTGGCGGGTGCCTGTAGTCCCAGCTACTCGGGGGGCTGAGGCAGGAGAATGGCGTGAACCCGGGAGGCGGAGCTTGCAGTGAGCTGAGATCCGGCCACTGCACTCCAGCCTGGGTGACAGAGCAAGACTCCGTCTCAAAAAAAAAAAAAAAAAAAAAAAAAAAAGAACTGCAGTAGACCTCTTATCAGAAACTATGCAGACAAGAAGAGAGTGGAGCGAAATATTTAAAGTATAGAAATAAAAACAAAACCACCAAGCTAGAATTCTATAATCAGTAAAATTATTCTTCAAAACTGAAGTAGAAATAAAGAGTTCCTCAGACAACAAAATATGAAGAAATCTACTGTCAGAAGAACTGTCTTGTAAAATGTTGTCAATAAATCTTCAAAGGAAAGGAAAGGAAACTAAAATAGGTAAGAAATTAACATCCACATAAAGAAAGTAGTGAATGCATACATGCAGGTTTATTGTTTTAATTAATTGATTGCATTGATATTTGTTTGTTCAAAGAAATAATGTATTTAGTGATGATAAAAGATGGTTAGGTAAAATGAATTACAGCAATTTTATAAGGAACAAAAGAAAGGAGAAATTTGAGATACTCTTTTACAAGGTAATTGCGCTACCCCTGAAGCAGTATGGGTTTGTTTGTTTGTTTGAGATGGCATCTCACTCTGTCGTCCAAACTGAAGTGCAGTGGTGTGATCTCGGCTCACTGCAACCTCCACCTCCTGGGTTCAAGCGAAACTCCTGCCTCAGCCCCACAAGTAGTTGGGATTACAACC